TTTGCTTTATATAGATAGTGCTGTTGTTCATTGCATGATTATTATAGGATTGTACTTTTGATTATTATAAAGGATATTCTTTGCTTCACTTAGTAGTTTTTGCTGTAAATTTTTCCTTGTAGAAAATTAATATTGCCACATCTGCTTTCTTTTTTATAGATTTGCCTGGTTTACCTGTATTTATTTATTTATTTATTTTTTAACATTTTTGTGACATTTTGGTTTAGGTATATTTCTCATTATTAGATTTTTTCTATTCAAATTCCTCTAATACTCATTTTCTAATTGGTGAATTTAACCCATTTTCATATTAACTGTGATAACTGCTGTGTTTGTACTTCTTTCTGCTGTCTGATTTTATGTTTTCTATTCATTGTGCTTTTCAAAAATTATTTTCTTGATACTTGCTGAATTGTTAGCTATATCCTATTTCTATATTTCCTGGTGGTTTTTCTTAAATTATTAGCAAATATATTCATCTTGATATTAAGAATTCATCAGCATCTAAAACCTGTTACCACCACCGATAGTAGCTAACAGTTATTATTTTCTGTGTGTCTGACAGTATTTTAAGTTTCTTACCAGTATTAACTCAGTAAATCCTCACAACCATCTTGTGAGAAAGGAGTCAGTTATTCCCATTATTTACAGATGAGGAAACCAGTAAGAAGGTAAGTAATTTTCTGAAAGGCACACAGCTAGTGAGTAGTGGAGGCAGAATTCATACTCAGGCTCTGTACTTAGAGACCTGCTTGCTTCAGCCCTGAGCTGTCGGAATATTGTTACTTGTCCCTGCCTACGCACCCTCTCCTTCCAGGTTATGCTGAAATTTACTTCTAGATTGTTGTCTTATCTGTTATGTTTTAAGAAGTCTCTAAACATTTACATTAAAGACACCAGGAATCTTTGGACTTGACTTCAAATTTTACTGATTTATTTTTCCTTGACATGTAGAATTGGCATGCTTTCTGGGTGCTTTCTCACCTGAAAAATGGCTTTATTTTGCCCTCATTTGATGGATAGATAGGTTTATAGATATTTGTGGGTTTCTTTTTTTTTTTTTTTAATTTA